TCCCAGTACTGAGAACCCATCCCCATCCTATTTTTCTGCTCTGTGCTTCTAAGCAGCACAGTGCCCTCTGATAGCCTAGTGACCTCAGGATGCCTCTGTGAGTGTCCCTTGGAGGGAAATTGAAGAACTGTGTGTTTCATGTCCAATCACTTATAATTACAACCATTTGTCCCATAGGATTTTAAGACAATAAAACAATAGACCTATTGTTCTCCCTTAAAATAGAGTGTTGACTAATCCCATCGTTATTAGTGTCCAAAAGCCAGGGATCAAACCCCAGATCCATCATGTGACCTTGATTATATTATTTAGGCTCTGTAAGTCCCAATTTACTCCTTATAAAAAAAAATAAATAAGAGCCACAGTAGCTCTCTCACAGAATTTTTGTTAGAATTAAAATGAGATAATATTCTGCCAGGTTTAGAGCAAAGGTTCTCTAAAGGGTGGTGGATTTTGTTAACAGTTTCCACATAGTCCTTAAACACTTGGGTGTTAATAAGCTGAAGACACCTGTTTGTTTCATTACTAACTAGACTTTGGGCTACTTGGGAAGCCAAGTAATGTTAGACTTAACACCAATATTCTCATCTAAAAAGTAAGGATGTTAATCGCTCTCTTGAAGAGTGAAATGAAAATACAATAATAAGACAAATTGGCAAATTATCCAGCACATACTAGATAAACTGTGAGTAACAAGATGTGCTTTTATTAGTTTTTTGTGCCACTTGAATGTTGATGGATAAATTAACTTGCTATGCTGCCATAACAAATATGACACTAAGTGGGTTAAGTAACAGAAACTTATGTTCTCACAGTTGTGAAGACTGGAAGTCCAAGGTTGAGGTACCAGCAGAATATTGTCTTCTTGCTGTGTCTTCACCTGAACTTTCTTTTGTAAACCTATATTCCAGGGGTCTCCTCCTCTGTTTTACACGGGTACCAGGCCTATTGGACTAAGGGCCTAACCTATTATTTTATTTAATCTTACTTCCTTAAAGGCCCTACCTCCAAATACAGTCACATTAGCTGTGTATTGTCCATTTTTAGTATTGTAATAAGATACCTAAGCTAGATACTTTATAACAAAAAAAAATTTGGCACACTTTCTGGGAGTCTGAAAATCTAAACAGCAGGGCTCCAGCTCTGGTGAGGGTCTCCCTGGATGTAGCCCATCATGGCAGGTGGCGCCATAGAGGGAGCCACACAAGAGGGAGAGACTACATACTGAGCAGGAAATTGGAGCAAGATGGTAGGACCCAGCAATGGCCTCCCACTAGGTCCCAGAGAACCAGGCTTCTAACACATGAGCACCAAGGGGAGAAACCACAGTAGGTGGTTAGGTCTTCAACCTATGAATTTGGAGGGACCCAGTTCAGTCCATAGCAAGACCAGAAGTCAAACTGAATGGATTAAAGGGAGAGAAAGAGGCACCAAATGGACCCAGTAGATATTATCAATTTTTCTGAGAAGTTTGATAGTACAGGGGAGGATTGAGGTTGTCTTTGTTTTTATTAGTATTAAAAGAACGTGGCCAAGTAGAAAGAACATAAGGTGTGACATCAAAGACTGGGTGTAAATTAAGTCTCTGTGTTTCCTTCCATGCTACATGTGGCCAAGTATTTTTCCACTTCTTTGATGCTCAGTCTCTACACAAGTAAAAAATGGATAATTCCACCTTATTGGGAAGGTTATTGTGAAGATCAGGATTACATTGATAAGGGATATAACAGGAGTTCATTAAATGTGAGGAACTATATTAAAATCCCCCAAAATGCACACTGTCTTACAGTGGCTGAGCTGCAAAGTGAATCCACTGTCCTGGGCAGAATCACATTGGGCTCCACAGCAAGCTCCCCTCCGGGAATCAGACTTGATTGGTTTCAGGGGTTTCCTTGTTAAACTTATCATATGGTGGTGATTGCTTATGATTCCAGGTATGTTTTTAAAGCTTGTCAGCCTCCTGGAAATAGAAACAGCCCTTTGGCAGGTAAAAGTCATTAAGAAGTAAAGTACCAGTCAGCCAGGAAAACAAGAAAGCCCACAGGCAGGCACTTCAACTGTGGAGCATTTTGAATATTGCATGCAATGATCATCCTATCGCACACACTTAATTCAATTATACTGACCCTTCAGCCTTGAAGGCCTTTTGTCTCAGACTTAGCATCTGCAAGTCTGAGACAGCTGGAGGAAGAAACTCTGTACAGAAAGTCTGTAGTATGGCTCAGACTTGCTATATGGTATGAAGGCCAAGAGGTTAATGCACTATTTTGCTTCTTGCCAGTGGAAGGGTTACTAGGCCTAGACAAGGTCATGTTGTGATTGAAAGACTGCTCAGAAAATCTGATTAAAATTTCCTCTACTTTTGCCTGTGCTTTGTTTCCTGGAACAGTGACTAGAGAACATGGTGATTCTGAAAGAAGGCATTTAAGATCCAACAACAGCCCACAAAACTCAGTTTAAAAATATTTCTACCAAGAAAAGTTTAGGTTTGAGGACCTCCAGAGGAATGGAAAACTGAGCATCAGTATTATTTGTTTATTCTTTTATTCATTCATTTATCAAATAATTCATGGCTACAGGCCATCAGAGACTGTTAGGTCCATAGCCTATGCACACATACTAAGAAAGACTTTGGTCATGTCTTCAGGGAACTCACAATGGCAGAGACAAACATGAACAGTTCATAATGATGTGTTATGTGTGCTAATAAAAGGGGCTGAGTGGAAGTCTTCAATTCTACCTACAGTGGGCCTCCAGAAAGGAAGCACTGATAATCAAGTTGGATCATAAAAGATCTGTACATTTTACATCGTAGAAAAGGAAAAAGCAATATTTTAGAGTGAAGAAATTGCTCTATTAAATGATTCAAAAGCAGTGTACATAAGACATTTTTTCAAGAAAGTAGAACCTTTCTATTTGATACTGTCTACTTACATTAGATCTGATGCACAGCATTTATTTCTGTATGGGCAAATATCATAATACAAAATACTCCAAACTTTTGGACCAACAGCAATTTTAGGGAGTGACATTTTCCCTCATGCTATCTCAAGACACATTGAGCAAAATCAACCCATTTATTCAGATGAATGACAGAGAACATTGTAATAGTCCTATTACGGTTTACTTGATTTTTCTCCATAAAGACCAGCCTGAGGTCAATGTGTTAGCTGCCTTTTCTGAGATATTTTTAGCTCTTTCCAGTACTTTAGGTGATCATCTTAATACTTTCTCATTAGTTTTATCCTTGTTAGCTCAGACTTTATTCATAGTCTTCCTTCCCATCTTTTCATGTTCTTTTCTTTTATTCTTATCTATTCAACACTATTCTGAAGATTTTCTATGCCACTATTTCTTAATAAATTATTATAATATAAAAAGTTCAAAGTTAATGTTTGCTTTTATCTCTTGTTACTCATTTGGAGATATACTACCATTCCAAGTATTTGTTTTATCATTGTTATTGGTCTTTTGTAAACTATCTGAGAGCAGTTATTAGGTTTGCCAATATTATGGTTCCTCTGATCATTTTCCTGCTGAGTGAAAGTTTTGACCTCAAGGTGGCTCTCAGTGAAGCAGGCCAGTAGGTAGGAACAAATAGTAGAAGATGATATTGTTCATGTTGCAGATGGTGCAATTTTGGAAAAATCGTCATATTTCTCATTGGTCCATGGGACAAAGAGATTAAAGGTAGGCATGACTCTGGGGTTAAAGGTGCCAACAAGTGACTGTTCTCCTTAGCCTACTTCTTTGAGACTAGAATCTTTGGCCAAGAGGAAGGGATATAAATGGAGGAAAGCCATAGCTCTAGATGGGGCCTCCTTCACATAAGACTTAATTTTTCCTGTTGAGTTCCTCCTGTAAAGTAGATTACAACTGGAAGTAGTCATTTAGGACTTAATCTTACTTCACTGCAGAGACATTGGACTGAATAGTGCTGCTCTTTGAGACACAAATACTCAGATTGTAATATATCCATACCATCTCCAAACTTAGGGTTACAAAGCCCTATGGCAAATGTGTGGATATTACCAGATGTTATTTTGGGGCAGAAAAAGGTTCTATGGACAAATATCTTTGGGCTCAATTGTATTAAGCAAAGTTAAAAAGAATTCTTTGTTATAGGTCTCCTCAAAATGTATGTATCCCAAAGGCCAGAGATGTAGCTCAGTAACATCATGCCTCCCTGTCAAGCACAAGGTCCTAAGTTTGATCCCTGGTAATGACAAAAAAAATGAAATAAAATAAAATAAAAGTTATATATTATAATACTTTTTACCAAAATTACATTAAAGTTTATAGCATCGCCCAAATAGCTAAGCACAAAATTCTATTTGCATAGACCATCTTTGAGAAATAATAGTTTAAATGTAACTCATAATGCAAAGTAAAATATATTAGAACCTACCTATAACTCCAGACTCTCTTGGTTATAAAATAAAACTAACTCACTAGGCCCTAATCTTCTAGTGTGCACGTGGGTGTATGGCAGTCCAGCCCAGAGCTTCAGGTTGCTTAGTTTGATCTGCACCTTATCTGAACATTTTATTTGTAGCTCCCAGTGAAATGCCTGATTTCAAAGGCAACCTAGGAGAGTATTAGCAGAGTTTTCTATGGAAGTTCTATGATACATACAGGGTTTCTCGTTGTTATTAAACAACAGTCCCATTTTATAAGTAGTATTTTGTACATGGACACAAATTTCAGGTTGAATTCTTGGTGATTTTTGTTACCTTTCAAACTGAACTGTAAAAATGCTGGAATTGTGATGTCGACTTTAATGAGTAGAATGTGCAAAAATAAATTATCTAGAATTGCCTCAGCTTCATACTATTAAAACTGAGAAATGTACAGACCATCATTGACAGTGTGAGGATCCCTCCTCTGGGGAGAAATCACAGACATCTAGCAAACATTTCTTTCCATTTTCCTGTGTTGCTCATTGTAAGCATTGGTGAGCAGCAGTGGGTCCTGAGATTGTTTCTGCTTTTCCTCCACAGACAGCGTGGAAGATGAGCTGGAGATGGCCACTGTCAGGCATCGGCCTGAGGCCCTCGAGCTGTTGGAAGCCCAGAGCAAATTTACCAAGAAAGAGCTTCAGATTCTCTACAGAGGATTTAAGAATGTAAGTACTTTCTTTTTTACTTTACCTTCATGCAGTTCCCAGAGGAGTCCTGAGAAGTGAGAGGGAAGCGGGGGATATACCCTGCTCAGAAAGTCTCACCAGATGGGCATTTCTTACTGATGCATCCTAGGTTTCAATACAGCAGATATTCATTTGGATTTGGGTTCACTTTGACATACCAGTGCTGGTACATGTTGTTGCCCATCAAACAAGGATGGCATTCATTAAAGGTTTATTCAATTCAATTCTTGTTAGATTTTTTTTTTCTCTTTTAGCTTAATGACCTCATTCCAATAAGCTCCAGTTATCTCTTCATTTCTTAGCTATCTCATGCCTCACTTATAGATTGTGGCCTATCAATTAACTTCATCCTGGCATTGGAGAAAAGTTTCTGTAAGTTTTACTGTCTGCAGAAGACCATTCTGTCAATGAATTTAAAGCATGAGTCACTGAGTCTGGCTTTCTGCGATCCAGATGTGTATATGACCCTCCTTCCTGGGTGAATCATCTTCACAATGTGTGGTAGCCCATCCTAGCCAGAGGAAGGGAATGAGAAACCATGAGTGAATCCCAGTAATCTGTCAGATGGACCCTTTTTCTGAATACTTGGTGTATACTCTGTATTAAGTTTGATGGTACAGATTAACCAGAAGCCAGAAAAAGTACAGACTAACATAAAAGCTTATGGTTCAGATAGGGAGCAAGGATTTGCTGTCATGAATCTATTGGAAGATAATTCATCTTTAATGGTATTGAGTATTTGTACATCAAATGGCATACCATCTGAACACATGGCTTGCTCTTATAGATACATAAGCCAAAGTATGTAGCTATATGTGTTCCTGTACACACAAAATAAGTCAGCCTGTTCTTTTCCAAAACCTAACCCCAAAGAGCCCCAATCCCATGACCATATACTTATATGCTGTCAAAATATTTCTACCAATCTGATAAACTCAACTGCTGCCTTTGTCTAGCTTCAATCAGTCCAGATGAGAAACTCTGCCTTTTGTTTGGTACCAACAATAAAAATTTACTTAGATTCATAAATCTAGTTGGCTTTTCAAAATATTATATAGGGATTCATCACACATATTGCACATTGTGCCTATTGTACCACTATCTGATTTTATGTGTACTGACTTTTTCCCATTTCTACTCCCCAGCCCTCTCTTTGCCCTAGGTTTTCTAATTTTTTTCCTTCGCTATTCCTAATGGAGTTCTTGCTCTTCTAAACCTTGGTCATTCACAAGGCCTTTGTGGAAGAGCCTGGGCTGGAGGAAAAGGGCACTCACCATACCCACAGGACTCTGATGAAAAGGAATATTGATATGTAATCTACTAAGAAGATACATATAAATAAACATGAGAAAAAGCAAAGAGACTTGACATTTAGGTCAGAGAATTATTGGTTATGTCTATTCTACAATAGTTTACATCCTCAGAGCAAAACAGCTGCACTGACCACAGGCCACAGGAAAACAGAAGAGCAATGATGGAGAAGGAAAGGAGGTTAAAATGACCAAGCCTTGCCCAAAAGTCAATACTAAGACAAGAATAGTCACAGAATAAAACGGTAACGAGCTCATTTCAAACATTTAGAAACAACTAAACATCCTTGCTATAATTTAGAGATCTCGTAATAAGCAAATTATTTCCTTTTTAATACTGACTGGATCATACATCAGGTACAGAATGGTTGTGGAATAAAGGGTTACTCAATCTAACCTCCCAGCATCCCTGTGTTCTTCAGCTCCTGCTGTGTTATTGTTCCATGGCCATCTCTGTAGGGTCTCTCATCTGAGGCCTGGCTGCCTTTCATTCTATTCACTGTAAATTGGAATCCTGATTGCTGCCATCATTAACCTTCAGGGCCAAGCTCTGCGGCATGCCTGACATGAGTAGCACTTGACAACAAATTGCCGGGCTGCGGAGTCTCCAGGAGTCTCCATACGTTGCTTTCTTTTGTTATTTCTTTTGGCTACCTGTTTGGTTCTTTCTTTTCTCCCCTTTCCTTATTTTCCTTGCCTTTCCCTTTTCCTTCCCCTTCTCCAACTTCTCTGACCCCACATCTATTCCTTCACTTCCCCTTTACACCTCTCCTTTTCTCTTTCAATTCTTGTCTCCTTTCTTTCCATTCTTCCCCTTCCTTCCTCTTTCTAAATTTTTTCTCTTCTCTGTCTTCCTTGCATTGTTTTGTCCCACCCTACCTGTCTATGAGATAAATTTTCAAAAGATCTGAATGTGCCAAAGAACATTTTATATACTTCTTTCAAACAAAGCATTTTAGGGTTTGTTCAGAAAATAGGAATCCATGTTTATGATAAATCAAACAAGAATGCCCTTTTAATTTTTATGTTACTCAAGTCAAATGTACAGCTCTAAAAAATGTGCCTTCAAGCAAAATGAGAGAGACACCAATGCCGATCTGTCCCACTCAGCTCACACTTTGAAGAATGGCAGTGATCAGAACTATTTTCCATCAGAGAAAGCAAACTATGTGCCCTTAACTTCCTGAATACCAATTATCTCAAAGCCCTTAAGATCACAAAATCATTTCTGTGGAAACAGTTGGGATACTCATTTTTAATGAAAGCTTTTTAAATTCCGCATATTTTGATTAAAAGAATAAACCATTCTTCAGCATCTGGAAATAGTCACACTTGTATGAAAGTGAGTCCAATTGCCAGGCACCCTGCAAGTGAACCTGTCGAGTCCCCTGGCGTTTTTCCCATACAGTATCTCTGATCGCATTCGCTCTCATTTTCAACATAGAGTGTTCTTGTAAATGGAGAATGGGAGAAAGAGAAGACAGAGCAGAGTTCTCATGCTCTCACTCTGACTTACTCACTGGAACATACACATTTTTGTTTCTGTGCCACATGCTGAGCTGAGTCTCCAAAGTGGGCAGCTGAAGGTGATGGAGAACACAGTATCAGAACTGTTCACCCTTGCTGCACTGCAGAATACACTACTGCCTAGTAGGCATGGAGACTGGGTCCAGAGTGGGCGTTTCTTATATGTTTACAGGTGACATGGTGCTTCTGGTGCAGGAGAGTCTAGGCATGGCTCTGCTGTCACTCACACGTGGGTCTGTATCTTCTTTGTTTGGACATCTTCTCCTGACTCAGGACTTTGACTGTCTTTGTCCTTGTACATTAGAACAATGATAACTACATTACTTTTTTAGAAATAAACACGAAGATCAACCTGAAGGAGTTACCATGTTGTGTAGCCCCAGATATGACCTCAGTTTTGTGCTCCATCAATGTGGGCAGTCACGGTTGGCCTACATAGCTCTCATGCAGTGTCTTGGGTATGGGGCTGCAAAATTATGTGCTAGAAAGGATGCAGAAAGATACCAAGTGCTATCTACAGATCAGCAGTCTCAAATTTAACTGCATGTTGCAGTCATCAGGGAGCTTTAAAAATTACAGATAGTTGGGTACTATGCTTGGTGATTCTGATGTAATTGCTCTGGGAAAAAGCTTGAGCATCAGGATTTAGAAAGCTTTTTGAGTAATTATAATGTGCAGCCAAGATTGAGAACCATGAGGCTAAATGTAAGATTCTATAAGATTTTAAATCACTGAAAAAAGAATTGACCTAATTGTGAAGATGCCTAAAATGTCAAACACCAGTAACCAGGCTACACTGGAATCTCATGAGGCCCTTGGTGTGTGTGTGCGTGTGTGTGTGTGTGTGTGTGTGTGTGTGTGTGTGTGTGGTATCTGGGCAGGGGTAGAGAAAGTAAATGTTCTCCTGGGGCATGACGTTTTATTCTGAGGATGTGTTTCTGGCATTTCTTTCCAGTAACTAATAATACTCAGCCCAAGCCTGCTCTTCCCATTTCTGAGAAGAGAAGATGAGAGATAGTTGCAAGCAGCCAGACCGCCCTGCTGGAGACCCCGGATCCCCTCTTCTCTCAGCCTTTCCCTGCTTCCTTTTCTTCCCCTGCTTTGAATTATAATGGGTCTAACTAAGTAGTCATTACACTCAAATATATCTTTAAGGCATCGCTTTAATACTTTTTAAATAGCCTTTTTACCTGAAAATGAAAGTTACTTGTATTAGATTTCTGTGGATGTATAAGAAATTACCACATCCTTAGCGGCTTAAAAAATCCATTTTCATCACAGTTTTGAGGCTCTGGAGTCCAGAAATCACTGAGTTGGGTTCTCTGATCAGAGTCTCCTGAGGTCACAGTCAAGGTGCTGGTTGGTCTGCATCTCTTACTGGATCCCAGATCCTCTTGGAAGCTCATACATTGTTGGCAGAACTCTGACCCTCATGGTTATACTGGGGATCAACGGGAGCCACTCAGCTCTGGCAGCTGCTCACAGCTCCTTGCCATGTGGGCCTATCAGAAGCTCACTCATGAGGCGGCAGCTTGCTTCCTCAGAGGCAGCAAGAGACAGTCTGGTTTGTGAAGGGACAGTCTTACAAAATATAGCATAATCACGGACGTGACACCCCACCCCATCACCTTCACATCTCAGCACACAAGGTGAGGAGGTTGAAAAGATGTGGCCCACTGGGGTCACCATAGGGTGTTTGTAAGAAGCAACCCCTGGTGACTAAAGAAGGATCTGGTTTGGGGTGACATCTCAAGCACATCAATCACTACCCCCAGTGTTTTGCCTGTAATCCAGATATCTTATGGATTTACAGCACCAAAATGTTTCTTGATTTATGCGAAAGTTTTGCTGTTGTGGTCAAAGGAACCAACCAGAGATGAAATTGCTTTGATGAGCCTTTTTCACCCCACTCAAAGTATTGGAGAACTTCTGCACTAAGACTTTTAAAAGCAAATGAAGAGAACTGAGGATGAAATTATAGGGGTCTGAATTTTTGACAAAGTACATTTGCATACAAATCACTAAGTCTCACTTATGGTGGAGAGGCACAGAGGGGGAGTTTAGCATACCCATGGCAAAGAGTGGGATATAGTGGTTAGGATAGAGGAAGATGTTTCTAATTGAATAAGGCAATGCTAATTG